CGGTATGATCCTCCATTGCCATTATTAAAATAATTCAGATGTGTAAAGTGTCACGTATATAGCGATCAGTATTATGCTTTACAATATCCTCTTTAAAGGTGCATTATGTAACTTTTCTTGTGGAGGTTCTGTCACATGCTTTTTCTATGTTATTGCTTTGTCTGAAATGTTTCACAGTGTGGTTTAAAACTTTTTATCTTCACGGTAGAGATGCGCGGATGGGCTATTTTTTCATCCGCAACTGCGACACAAAACTCATCATCCGCCCGCTACCCATTTTGCACCGAAGGTTTTCAAAACCGCACCCGCCCGCCATCCGCCGATTGATTTTAGATTTTAGAACAATCATACAGCAAACAAACTAAGGAGCCTCGATAAAAATGCAAACTCTATAGCTCATTCATTCCAAAATTTGCTCAGCGTGTATGTTCGCATGCTTAATTGTCCGTAACAACCCCAAACTTACCTGGTTTTCTTGCGCAGCTAATTAATTGACAACGTTTTCCAACTAGGCTATTTTTGAACCTTCTTGCCTTCGTGTTGGATGTTGTTACATTCTGAACATTCTGCCATTGCCCGATGTTATTTCAAAGTCATAGCCTCACTCCATCGGTCTTTCTTTAAGTTTTAAATACCCCGAGTGGCAGTCTACGCTATAATGTCTGCGTGTTTTAAAATATAACTGATATCGAAACAAAATAGACAGATCATCTCATCCAGATGGACCTTTATTGAAATCAGGCAATGCCTTCTTTATATTCCAATTGAAATAGGCAAGAAAAAATATGCATAACTAAATAAATATGGCCCTATAGCCACTTACGTGTTGGCAAACAGCTGAAATAAATTAGAAATAATAAAATAAACTGCATATAATATGAACCTCGTAAACCTTAGGCATCAATAACCCGACACAACCTGAACCTTCAGAACATAAAAACGAGGTCAAATGGGCTAATTAAGGATATGACGTACACTTCATACTACAAGCATAGACAATGAGACTCGTCTTTTCAGATGTAGGTAACAATACTAACAATAACTTTTTTTTTTTTTTTTTAGTAGTTAAACCGCCACCCGCCCGAATTTAATAAAAATATAATTTTTCGTCACGTCATCCGCCCGACCCGCGGATTAACCGCGGATAGCGTGGTTGTAACCGCAATCCACGCCTCTCTACTTCACGGGGACCGAACCAGACCAAGTTACAGGTCAGATCTGTGGAGAGACAATCTCGCTCAGAGTCAAAATGCCTATTTTTGTATTTTTGCTATAAACCACCTGTAATATAATAAATGTATAGGGCTGTTTAATGTCATACTGTGGAATATTCCTAGCCGGGCTGGTGCCACCTAGTGCCTCTGCTCAATTTCATTTCTTGCAAAAACCCTGGAAGTGCAAGTTTGGTCACCAGTCAAAGAGCAAAGAGCCATACATTCTGTGCTGGCACCGATTCCCGAGATCGAGGATTTAAAACCGGAACAAAGAGAATGTTTGGTGAATTTTATCAAGGGGAAAGACACTATTGGCCTTTTTCCTAGGGGATTTGGGTAAAGCTTAATACCAGTTAGTCCTGTTAGCGGCACATTACATACGTTACAACCAAATAGCAGCGATTGGTTAAATGAAAAAAAGTACCCTCCTACTGTTGAGAGAACGAATTCTAATGCTGCGAGGTCAGACGGTTTCTACGAAGTGAAACCGGCTGATGAATCAGGCGAGAACATTCCAGGCAAAGCAATGAAATATCCATTAAACAAGCAGGTGATGGACCCCCAACCAAAAAAGCTACACCTTTATCACAATGAATTTGACACTTATGTTTCTTTTTTTGTAGGTCAGCCAGGACGCTACACATTACGGGAGAAGTTCAAAGATTTTGAGCGGTGCATGACTCCGAGTGAGCACATTCTGGAGACACTGGAGAGGTATGGAGAGCTCTCCCGAGATGTCCAGCTCACTTTGATCCTCAATGGACCTGCAGGCTGTGATCCAGTGTGCCAAGGCAAAATGGGAAAATATCAACCATACCAAGCACTTAGAAGGAAAGACCCTGGCTCCAAACTCTGGCGGGGAAGCAGTTCTCTGAGTCTGCACCGACAAAGTTTACCCCCTCTGGATGAAAAGAAAGTAGAGGATGTGAAAAGGCCTAAAAGAAAATCACTGACCATCATGGAGGAGGCTTGGGAGTGGCTGGAAAACCTGGGCAAAGGGAAGGTGTACAGAACAGCAAGTGAAAAAGATATTTGCAAGAAATGTGATAAAATGAACCGGACATCTTTAGAAGTTACTTTAGCATTTCGCAAAGATGGGACAGGCCGAAACAGCAAGGACAAAGTTAAGAATGACAAAGTTAGTGCAGACTTGGACAAGCAAACCTCTTGCTGCATAAGGAGTCAACCTGAAGAAACAGCAAAAGTGTGCAGGTACTCAGAAACTAAAATCCAAGAGCTGACAACTATGGTGATAGAGGATGAGAAAATTAGACTCATTGAAAATATATTAAGTCAAAGAAGCAGTTTGGAAGATCTTAAAATACAGATCGCAAATGTGGACAGACAGATTTTTGAGTTGGAGGAACGGCAAAGACTGAGAAAAGATGAGGAGGACACTAAGCAGAAGGCTAGAGAAGAAGAACTGGAGCAAATTCTGTTTTGGGAGAACGAACTCAAAGCAGAAGCAGGCCATGAGAAAGATTTGCAAAAACAGTTCTTGGAAATCAAAGAGAGTGTGATGGAGTGCAAGGCAAAAATACAAGGGATGGATTTTGGTGGTGCTCAGCTAACTCCAAAAATAAGCTGTGCAAATGATCTAGAATTGGCCAAAGAGCTAAATAAAGTTGAAAGTGTGTGTAGTCATGTGGCTCCAAACAGGAAGTCTCAGTGCGGAGAAGAAGGCAGTCCTCCTCACGCTCTGTTGGCTCCATCTCAGATAAAGGAGAGAAGGCTCACAGGGCCCACGGAGCTGAGGGAGTGGTGGACACGCTGGTCACAAGCTCAAAAGACTCAAAATAAGGTCATACACCGGTCAGAGCTCACCATCTATCTGCGTAGTACCAAAGTCTAAGTCTGACTGGTGAGTCAGGTAAAGGACAATGATTTTTAAATAGTGTCTGGTAGTGTCCATGTGTTGTGTTTGTTAGAAATAAATGTCCTATATTAAATAAAATTGACTCTTGTGAGATTTAAGCTATGTTATAATGTTGTTACCTCATCAAAAACATACCTGGAGCTATGTTTGAGGAATCCTTTATTATTAGTCTGTTCACATCTCCAGTATGTTTTGTGAGTGAATAAATGATTGTCTGGTCATTGGAGGGGCTCACATCACAGATGAGCAGCCTCATTTTCCAGTGTAGCTGTGATTACATTACCATGTATGGAATAAAGAGTATTAGCTGAAGTGTATTACTGTTAAGAGGCTTGTCACACTTGTAAAGAACAACAAATGTAAAGCATCAAAATTGAACAGAGTGGAATCTAATGTAATTTTATCTTCAATACTTTAATAAATGCTCTCAACATTTCATTAGTTTTCAGATTTTACCCCCTATTTTGATTACTGTGGATTATCTAGTGCTCTGTATTCTCATTTTGTGTGGTGCATTCTAGGTCAATTAGTTTAACAATGTCCACAGAAGTGGTTCAATAAGAAAAGATTCAACAAAATGAGCTTTAAGTAATTATAAGTTTATACATATTTCCATAATAAATGTCTACACATACCAAGTATAGAATAAACAAGTCAAAATGATTTTCATAAAATTTTTATTATTTCATTCAAGACCATTAACAAAAGTACATTTGAACCAGTGCGTGGTTCAACAGAAACCCGGTGTCTAAAATCAAATCTGTAAATGAACGTGCAGAGGCACATAGGCTATAGCTCTCCAGCCTCATCTTCCACAACCTGAAAGAATCCTATTCAGCTTTTGATTTTATTGTTCATCTGTCCCCTTTGTTCCACTGAAACTTTGTTGCTTTGTTATCATCTTAAAGTTTCACTAAGAAAAAGCACACATTACATACAGTATATTTCAACCCACAGGTTCAGGATGCATATCGGTTTTATTTCTACTAGAAAAAAAAAGCCAACCGACGATTGTTCTCAATATTTTGTGGATGGCTGAAAACATAAGATACATCTAATTTGTTTTTTGTTGTTTTTTTTTTTTTTTTACTGTTTTGCTTTAGGCACCTTAATCTTATTTAATTCAATATTAGCAAATTGAATAACAAAAAAAAGAAAAAAAAAATATGTGCAAGAAAAAAGAAAAACAAGAAAATAAATTGTATAAAAGAACTGTAGATATAAGATGCCACAAGGAATTCTGCACCTGGGGAAATTGCTTCAAGTGGAGCATGTCAATACCAAAACGGCATCCAAGGCTCCTGATTGGTACAAGTAAACCCTATCTGAACTACTTAGACATCCACATACGTCACTCACACCATGCGTCCACTCCAGCTCTTAAGTAAAGCATTTTAAAAACTGCTCAAAAAAACGAGCAGAGAAGAGTCTTCAGTTTAAGCTCGCACATATGAGTCCTCCTTATGGAAGGAAATTTTGCTTTATGCGTCTTGTAGGAAAGCATACAGTTGCGGAAACCAGAGTTCCCATGGGTAAAGGCGCAAAACTAAATGTGGGAGGAAAAAACGAAGCAGAGACATGCTAACAGTCTCACTCAAGCAGACTACTAGACAAGAGCAGGTGCAGAATTCCAGACAAGCAGATTCGTCGACAGGACATGGACAGCCACACAATCACCACTCGATTTCCATCATACACTATATCATCTGGACACGTCACACACGCACAGAGATCTCACATACTGCAGAACTCCGGTTAGCTACGTCAAACATGGAAATGAGAGAGATTCCCTTTCAGATTATCAGTTACACATGCCAAATATGTTTGAGTATGCGCATGGATCCAATCAAGATTTCCCTTAGCCCCTGGAGCACACCAGCATCTCCGAGCGGGGCAGGGCAGGTTTGTATTGCTCAGTCAATCACACCGGGCTGACGGGTCTTCCTCTCCACACTGAAGCCCTGAAAAGACAGCAAGAAGACAGCTCAATATGAGACGACTAACTAAAAACAAAACAGGCAACAAAAATAATGAAAGGAAATTATTATATTAAATATTTCACAAAATACTGATCTTACCTTTGAATTGTCTGGACCACGAGGTTGCCTGATGATGACCAGACGAGGGGCACTGGCATCGTCCAGGGTGATACTTTTGAGCCTGTTCACCAGGCGGTCGGGACGAGGGGCCACAACCTGTTTAGGCCCTTCACTGAAATGGACATACGTTTTATGAAATTACACAATATAAATCTACATTATAATTTGGTCAAACTGTCAAAACCACACTCAAAATTAAAGCTGTACAAGAGATTTCTACTAAGCTTACCTAATTCTGCGGACATTGCAGGCACTACATTTTCCTGTGCGTTGATTGAGGACAACGGAGAACTCCACCTCGTCCCCAGTCTGGAGCTCCAAGCCATCCTGAACCTCTTTAACGTGAAAAAACAGTTTCTTGCTGTCACCCACTTCATATGTGATGAACCCAAACTGAAAAAAGCAAAAAGAAAAAGCTTTAATCAAACTGTATTTTAGGCCATATTTACAACTTTTATAATAAAGCAGTTCAAAATGTAATCTACCAGATCTTTGACCGACTCCACGGTGGCTCTTCTCTGAGGGACAATGTTGCAGCCCATTTTCTGCCCAGTCTGTGGGATAGTGCAAACCTGGAACTTCACCGACTCCCCTTTCTGCAGACAGTCCGATTTGTTGGACATTCCCATAATTCCAAATGGATAATTCTGGCCTTTATTTCCACCTAAAATGTAAAATACAATTTCACAGTTAAAAAAACAGATCACATTTTAATAACATTAATAATATATTTAATAATTTTATATTAGCAATACTAACCTTCTTCAGTGATTTCAATAAGTCCCTGATAATCATTCTGGGAGGGGTCCACACTGCGCAAAGGACGGACAACTTTCCCTACCATGATGGTTGTGGTTATATCATCACCAAAACTGTTCACTAAAACAAAATAAAGTTTGTTAAAGGTTATTGATAATGGTATGAACAATTTGATTTAACTTAAATAAGATTTAATGGCTTAAGCAAACATTTCTGGTGTTTTTATCTGTTCAATTAGAAAGAAAAAGACTAGGTTTCCTTTACATCTTGTTTAATGCATTAATATTTTCTCAAACTATTTCACTCATCTTTACATGCACATGAACAGAAATTGGTACGATTTTACCTGGAGCCACCTTCGTAACCTTCTCAGCGCTGACTTTATTTCCTTTTCCTTTAGACATGGTGTACTCCACTGTATCTCCCAGATCCAGGTTGTCTACATCTCCACACATCTCACTACAAACAAACAAATATGATATCAGTATTTCAACATCACACCACAACCTGCTAAATCATATGTGATAAACACAGATGTACCTATAATGAAAGAAGATCTCTTGGTCATGATTTGCAGTCTCAATAAAACCAAAGTTGTCCTTCAGCGTGGCCACAAAACCATGCAGTCTTTTGGCATTGGAGCTATTACGGTTCAAAACTCTGATAGACACTGCACTCTGCTGGCCAGTCCTCTTCACTTCACTGATGGAAAACTCCACCTAAAACAGAGACCAGAAGTTTAGCACACTTTAAACACTGATACACCTTATGCAAAACATTTGGATGGCATTTCCCTTGTTTCCAAGTCTTTTACCTTATCTCCAGCCTGTGGGGATGATGTTCCCTCCAGGTCCTTGGCATAGTATGGGATGGTCAGCTTCACTCCACAGTCTTCATATGCAATCACTCCCTCATCAGTTTCCTAACAATTACAAAAATATAGAAAACATCACATTCATGCAGTCATTTTATTACTAAGTGTAAACAACCAACAGTTCCACTCTGGGTTCAAAAGGATGCGGGGAGAAGAAAATGCCATGTAGAGTTATTCATGATACAGGCATATTAGTGAGGCACTAGTGCACATATATGCATTTCTCATGATTAGCATTAGCAAAGACTACTGCAGTGCCTCCTAGTGTTGTTTAGTAGGGCTGCAGAATTAAAGTTTTATTGATAAGATGGGTATTAATTATTGGTATGCAGTATAGTAGAGTTTTACAGTGTAAACTTTCTGAGCTGTGAAAGATTCTGAAATAAACTGTTATCTACTTAACTTTAACAATACACAAAGACTACGGCTTAATGGTCATGATTTTTTAGGAGCATACGATTTGATTTAATTTTATGAAACAGCAGTCAGATGTTGCTTTTAAAATCCATCAAAATCCAGTGAAACTGATAATTGTCATCTTGTGAGGCTCAGTGGAGGGGGTCAGGAATATCTTAATGTGTCTGAAGACCCTGGTTTATCAAAATTGTGCAGCTCTACTGACCACTTAAAAGACCAATGCATTGTTGGATTTGACAGTCAACTGGTGATAAAAAAAATAAAAAATCTGTTTAGTTGTTGTTCACACCAACCTTTTCAACAGGTTTGACCTTGAAAAACATAATAAAAAAATGAATGTTAAAACTTTTTAAAACCCCTTTTGCACCTAAACGTTAGCAGGCGATATCTAATGTGGCTGATCTATTTTGTGGCATCATGCACACAACAAATCCTACCTTGTCTTTTTTCTAAAGAAATACAGGAGATAATCAGGATGAGGGTTGAAAAGGGAAAAAAAAGAAAACAAAGTTGAAGTAGATGGCTGAAGAAGAAAAACTGATCTTTGACTAATGGAGGAAAGAAAGTTGTTCTGGTCAGAGGAGTGCATACTTTTGGCTCTTTGCCCTTTGTGGGGCTGCCGTTCTTGGCTGCAGACACCACCTCTCTCTCAATGACTCCAATGAAGCGCTGCTCCGACTGAGTGTGGAAGGACACAGTGCCTTTAGGCAGCTTCTTGATGCGTACTGCATGGTTCCTCTGGGCTGACAACATATCCTGAACACAACAATCAGCTTCAAGTCAATGTTCAACTTTAGGACATGCTCTGTGCCCTGAGGATTTGAGCTCCAAAAAAGTCATAAATTATTAAATTCAGTTCATAAAAGTATTAAACAGCAGTATACTAGCAGAGTGAGTTGGCTTTTATAAATGGACCAGTTCCCCCACACAGAAAAATACAATAGTCCTACTTACAGGCACAACAGTGAACTCGACTTCATCTGAAATGTGCAATGGGGCTTCCTCTAAAACCTCACTAAAGTGGAAGAACATTCTGGCATCCCGATCCACACATTTAATAAAACCAAAACCATCTCGAATGGCTGCAATCACACCCTACAACAATAAACCAAGAGGTGGTTAGAGGGGCTGTTCTGTTTGAATGTAAGCAATGTCTTTTGTGGCACTCACCATCTCCCTAGTCTCCTTGGTGAAGTTGAAAGTGTCTGGCAGAATGTCAATGTTGGTGGCTCTCTCCAGCTTGTCTCTGCGGTCAGTGGAAATGTTAAACTGGATGTGATCTCCCTCCAGAAGGGTCACTTTGGACTTTGTGTCTTTCTCTCCAAAGGGCAGCTCCTTGTCTGTGTACCCAATGCGTGCAGTGATACGGCCTGGAAGGGGGTCATTCTGTGGGAGAATATTTGGCTTTTAAACAGAATACATCAATACTACAGTATACAACAATACTAGAGCCCGACCGATATGGATTTTGCTGTGGCCGATATGAAACCGATATAATGGAAGTTGGCGCTGCCGATAGCCGATATAATCGCCGATTTATTTAGTGATGTAAAAATTCACTGTAAATGTTGAATTGTTTAAAAAAACTTAGGTTTGGCTCTGGTGGATTTTAAATTGGGTTTATTTAGGCAACATTTATTGTTATTCTGCCTCTTTACATCATATTTACAGACAGTAGGTTGGCTTAATGGCATTTTTGCATCACATTCTAGACACTAGTGATGGGTATTCCAGTTCTTTTTAGAGAACCGGCTCTTTTGGCTCAGCTCACTAAAAGCTGCTGGTTCTTTTGGCTCCCAAGTGGCTCTTCAGATTGTTTTGTTGCAAGCAGGACTAAAGCACGTCTAAAGCAGGACTGAGTCAGGACTGAACCAGGTCTAAACCAGGACTGAAAAAGGACTAAACCGGGACTTATTTATTTTATGCTAAACTACAGTCAAATATGCTAGTTTTTTTTTATTTTAATTTTTTTTTATCCTACATACACGCAAATTTCTCAAAGTTTCGTTTTTAGCTGCTGCCGCTGTCAAACCACGAGTCTGCACGCGGCGTGAAGAGAAAAAAAGTGAGAGAAAGAGAAAACACAGCTCCCAATAAGGATCAGGCTCCCGTCGTTCCCTTGAAAGAGCCGGTTCTAAGAGTCATTTCGTTCGCGACGGACCCATAACTAGTAAAGAAAGTAGCGCTATTAGCCTTCAGCCGTAAATACGTGCGCGCTGCGGTAATTAATTATATGCGCAAATGTCATAATTCACACCTCTATTCACAGCTCATTTACATATCAGTGCAGGTCCAGTAGCAAATATACAGCCAATATAGTCACTTTAGAACAGACCAATAGAAAACAGTCTGTTTATGTGCGGGAGCTACAGCAGCTAACCCATAACAAATGACAAAAACTAGCTTCAGAGTCGACATATTTTCAACACTCACCGCTCACACAGGCTCCTCCTCACATCACAAATCTGCACTAATAAATGTCCTTTTAATCCAGACTCAAACCGATTGTCCGTGAAAAAAGAATATAATCTCAGTGTTTGGATCTGTGTCTGCAGGTGTAAACAAACACACGTGAGTGACGCGACTCTGTGGTGTGTTCAGGGACAGTACGGACACACACAGACAAATGACTCCGTAGATAAATACTGATGTGGAGCCACATATTAGGACATTTATCTGTCTGTAAATTGGATTAAATGAACAGAATGTAGAGTCTAAGCTTTATAACGAGGTATAACATGCCCACGTAAAATATCGGCCCCTATCAGCAAGTATATCGGCTGATAGCCGATATGCCTAAAGTTGCCCATATCAGCTGATAATATCGGCCAACCGATATATCGGTCAGGCTCTAAACAATACTACAGTATACATCAATGCTAGTCAGTAGTATCCACTGAAAGGCATATCAACACTGAAATTTTAACACTGCCATAGTTTAAAACTAAACATAAATTGACTTGCTATGGATAATAGTAGATAATTTAGTGAAATTACCTTTCTGTAGTAACAAAAAGGTACAATTTCACTAAATAGTTTTCTCTCTTTGAAATTATTGTGCAATATTTTAAGTAACTTTACACTTGAGAACACTTATGTGCTAGTACTCCCCTGTTATTCAACTGAAACTGATACTTGCCTGGTTTTTGGTTGGAACCTTGGGGATGACCTTGGTAACAGTGCCTTCAAACTGTTCAATGCTGATATCTTCAAAGATTACTGTGCCTTGAGGGAGCAGTCTCACGTCTGTAGCCACCTCCTTTCCCTGGAAACAGATTAAGTCTAATTTTGAGTCTGCAGCCTGAAATGTCCAAGGGAATTTTAAGGGAGAAAAAAATACAAACATTTCGATCTTTGATGGTAAATTCCACATCATCTCCAGCCTGCAGAGCCTCCAGGTCTCCTTTAAACTCACTGTAGTGAAAGAAAATTTCCTTCACCACATCAGCTCTTTCAATAAATCCAAAGGCCTCCTGAAATGACAAACAGCATGGCTCAGGCTGGTGACATGAAGGCCAGGGGAAATTGCAAAACAGATTGTGCCACAACATTTACAGACCACAGATATACATTCTGCAAAGACTATTTATCTCACACTTGTATGTATAACAGTGACACCACTCTGAAAAGATTTTTGGCACATGGATAACCACCAAAAGCATCACATGAGCAAATGGGTTGCCCAGAAAGGAGCCTTTACAGTCACTATATTGATTATGATAAATGAGAAAGTAGCACATTCTAATTGTCTGATCCAAAATTTGATTGAAAGCAACTATTGTAAAAGTCCAACATGTCAGATACTTGCACTGACACAAAAGAGCTCAGAAGTGCCATGACTCTGGCCACGAGAGGTAATCAAGCAAAGTATCGTAATCGTAGTCTAACTGGTGACAAGAACTTAATTTCTCATTCTCAGTTTTCCTTACCTTTGTTGCACACACCACACCTTGGCACCGCATTTGTTTCTTCTTTACAAGTTGAATGTTACGAGCACTCACTGCACCAGTACTGTAATGCAAAAGATTAAAAAAAATTTAAATGTAATAAATGATTCTATGAATCCCTCTCTGGTATTCAGTAGAGATGAAACAGAACAGCATTTTGAAAGACAGGCTGAAAATGAGCAAGACTCACAGCTTGTTGGTCTCCATGTAAAAGCTGACTTTGTCACCCGAGTCCAGATGGATGTTGCCCTCCACATCATCAGGAGTGTAAGTCAGATAAAATACCTCCTATGAAGGCATAAAGCAGTGTTGTTGATATATCCAAAATGTTACAAGTGTAAAAACATGCCAGCTAAAGTAAAAAATCTCAAATGTGAGGTAAAACTGAAACAAGGTAATTCAATATCTGCATATTAGCTTCAGAATAGCGCTGGACTTTTCACTTACTCCATTTCGTTCATAGCAAACACTGCCAGTGGGGACCTGGCCCGGAGCAGACTTCCCATCCAGGTAAGCAGGAATGGCAGAGACAACCTGGGAGTAATGAAGACAAAATTAGACTATTATTATTCTATTATTCTTCTATTATCATGACAAATTATTTCAACTCCGTATGGGTGAATAGACTTTTGACAGAACATTTGGACTGCTACGTTACAACTATAACTAAGGGGGTATAGCTTTAATATTACATTTATTGGGCTAGAGTAATATCCACACAAGGCGATCTCATTACAGGTTAAAGTGCGTATCACAGAGCGTTAACCAATATTTACAAACACTATTTAAAAGCAAATGTATGGGAGCAGCAAACTTTATAAAACAATGACAAACACATAGGTTACATTGACAAACAAGGGACACAACCAAAAAGAAAATGGTATTCCTTAACTGGATGAATATAACCATGCAGCATAGTTAAGGCATAGGCGTGCAGGTCTGGCCCCACCTGGCCCGAGATCCGCTCCTCTGGCAGCACCTCTGGCTTTATCTTAAGCAGCTTGACTGCTATGGGCTTGCCAGTGCGCCTGTCAGAGGACACCTCAAACTCCACGTCATCTGTGCACAAACACAAGGGACACCATGAGTGAAACGCTCTTCATAGTATTCATTAGAAACATCTCCTGAATATGTCAATCATCTGTTTTCCTTATGACCTCTTGTATATTGCGAAGATATTTTTCTTACTTATTTCTTTTTAATTTTTACCTTTACATACGCATTTGTATAATTATGCCTTATTTGACATCAGTTTCTTGACATTTCTACCACTTATTTTGAATGAATTATTACCATTTACATGTTTGCTCTTTATTATGTTATATTGTGATGTGTGAGCTACTGAGCTATTACTCCAAATAATTTCCCTGGTAGATCAATAGTTTGTCTAAGTCTAAAAGAAGCGACTGATCACCTCCGACTTTGAGCTCCTGCAGGTTGCCATTGTACTGGGAGCAGTGGAAGAAGAGCCTGGCCTGGCGCTCTGAACACTGGATGAAGCCGTAGGAGGTGAGGAGCTTCTCCACCACCCCCGTCTCCCTGATGCCCGGCCCGCTCCCGTTGGCATAGGCTGTATGGCCATTATTATGGAGCATGTTGGGATCAAAACTCATCTGGAGAAGACAAATAATAATATTACAACCATGTCAAACATCAAAAGGAATTGCCAAGTTCACAACAGGAGACTGAACATGCAAACATGGCATATAAAGTGGATGTGGGAGTATTGAGTACTGCACTAACTAATCTACATTACTGCACTCTATTTAGTAGCTCCTGTGTCAACCAGTGCTCATCAAAATAAACATGACAGACATAAGCAAACAAGGGCCTTTTCTGTATCTGATGGTTAGTGTCATATACACAAAGTGAGGGTTATTTACATATTCAGGTTACATGCAGGGCTGAACACAAAAGTATGATTAATTGCTTGTCAAAGAACACGCCTTTTTGACAAAACAAATCTTAGGTCACTGCTTATCTGAGCCACACCTCTTTTTAGTCATTTTAACATCAAACCATGCGGCCTGCCACAGCAGTGTCCAGTGTGGCGCTAATGCACGGCCCCTTACTGATCTCTGATAGAGGGGGGTCCGCTTGTGTTTTTTACTTCCTGGATGTGGATGACATGATACAGAGGAGGAGCGAGGGATGGGCACAGGAGCAGTGGACGAATGGGCAGGTCGGGGTTCAGACGAGCCCCGCTCCATTTTAGGCACAGAGGACATGACTCGGCCGGGCTGTAGGGAGGAGGGGACAGCTTTCAAACAGCAGGCTAAAAAGGAGGTCAATCCGGTGGACTGCTTCCAAATACATCTGTAACTGCTTCATGAGGCCAAGGTTGGGCCAGTATGGTATGCATCAGTATCAGTATCAGTATGTGTCACTTCCTTAAATTATTACACAAAAACCAAAGCCTACGCTTTCATAACAACCTGTCACCCTCACATACACTTGACCTGTCAAACACAGAGCCAGCATGATTCAAAAGGTCTGTACTGTAACTGCTGGACAGCCAAAGTGAAGCACAAGGGCATCTTGAAACCTCCTCTCAGGAACACTGCTTCTAGAACCTCAAAACACTGAAGACATTTGTAGTACAGCGCTGTGAACAGACTTTAGGCACATGTAGGGCAGAGCACCTTCTCTCCAGAGAGCGAGAACAACTGTCACTTTGTAACCGAACCATGACTTGACCATTAACACGTTAGGTACAGACAAACTAAGAGTGGAAATTCAGAGAATGTAAATGACAGGACATCTACAGTGGACAGAGTCAGATGAATGTGGGTAATGAAAAGGGTCCCAAAGAAGCCTCATTTTGCACCACTGGGGCATTTAAGGGTGACAAACAAGACTGGTCTAATTGGTGGATGTGTTCCAGGGGATCCCATTGGTCTTGTTTTTTGGCAAATTTCATGAAATTTCAGTCAGTGTGTTGTACATTTGTAAAATTAGCCTTAGGTGATACACTGCTGTACTGAGGCTAGTTTCGGGAGCCCCACAGGGATGAAAGGTTAGGCCATTCACAGCAGATGCAGGGCGGGTTGGTGGATGGGTGTGTGTGATGGCGGGGTCGGGTTGGGACGTAGAAAAGAGGTGGGAAGGCGGACTTACGGATCGGCCATACGGCGAAAGGCTCAGTCCGACAGGGGAGGTGCTGCTCAGGTCAGCGCTAACGAACGCGGTGGGTGGCGACGCAGGCAAGGTAAACTCAACAAAGCCTTTCCAGGGGCTGCCCATATTGTCCCATACACTGGCCAGAGCACTCGCTGAACTGGATTACACTTTGGATTTTGCTTGATAATTCTAAAGGATTTTGTACATATGCACCCAAAGACACACCAGTGGACGTCTGCAAGGGCGAAGAGAGGAACAAACAAAACCGGTAAGGCACAGGCTGGGTACGTGGTGAGTGCATATGACCAGTGGGAACGACAGACAGGACAGCTGAAAATATGAGCTCTGAATGATTGACAAATCCGAGGAGTCTTAACCTGAGCTCAGACTGCAGGTGGAGCATGTGTGGTGTGGAGGCAGCAAGAATTCGAAAAAGTCAAAAGAACAAGATTTATATTGACTCCAAGTGTGACACGATTTGTGTCCCACAGGACTTAATCTGCAAAAAGCCCATTGTTCCCAGACACCACGACGTCCGGAGTAGTTTGCAGGTAATTACACAAGTGTCATCGCGCGAACAGGTGAAACAGAGTTGCTTTGGTCAAATATGCACCGCATTTGCCGTAGTTTGTGTAACAGTTAATCTGCAAATAGCTCGCTCAAAGGACATTGAACCCACTCTGCAGGTAGTGTAAACCCAGCACAACTGGGCTTACACAGAGCCCACGGAGCACAGCCGAGGAAGAGGCAGAATTGGCCTCCTTCGTACTGATGCGCGTTCGTGGTTATGCAAGTTTACTCTGATGCTGCCAGTTTGTCTGGAGCCTTTAAACTCATTCAGCTTTGTACTGGCGTCTTGATGCAGACCTGAACTGTGAGAGCCTCTATTTTTTCCCATTTGAACAATATACAATTATATTAGGCTTGTGTGAAGACATTTCAGTGACAAACTACTCCGTATTATTCAAATGCAATATGTGAAGTATTTGGGGATCATCCAATCACAGCCCTGGCAATCCGCAGCAGCACTTTAACAGAAATAACTTTTTGGATGAGGTGCACGTTCCCCAGGCCATACACAACAGCAGAGCTGTGCATAGATCTGACACTTGAGTATAAAGCAACCTTGACCAGGCGGCTTTAATGATTCTGTTCCATTCATCCACATCAGGCCCAATTATGAAAACAGCTGTGGTAAATAAACAAATGTGGCATACAGTAAATGAAACCACCTGCACTTTATGTGTCAAGATACGCCAAAGACCTTTTCAGTTTCATCTAGAACAGTGCTGTGTGCAATATTGAGACAAGTTAAGATAAGAAAACCTTTATTTGTCCCACAATGGGGAAATTCCAGTTTAGAGGTCTAATATGGGTCAGATTCGCTTTCAGGTCTACTACAATGTCCAATGGATTTGTGCGCCATCAAGACTGCAGCCTAGCCACTGTAGTGATGGTTCAAGCTGTGTACAGTTGCATTGGATGATAAAAGATTTACAACACAAAACCATTTTATAGAACTCAATACAGACCACTACAGTTTTGCTAGTCAAGAAAGCCTAGAGTACAGCAGAGAGAAATACATGAATGAAGCCATGTTGCAGTACTGCTAAATAACCACTCCATTTTTAATTCTGCAAATGCTTTGACAGATAGTTTATTACGGGATTTCTGACTCATACAGGAAAACACAGCAAAACAGTTTGCTGGAAACTTGGATGACTCTGAGTGCCTGAGAAATGGCTCTGCAAATGATTGTTGCAGACAACCCTCCAAATATTTAATTTTGCCTAAATCGACCATAATCAAAACAATGTAAAACAGTACCAACCTTAAATGATTCTTGGTTCCTTTATTGTTGACCACTTGGAGGAGTTCTTGCAGATCTCTTCACACACACAGTTGAACACACACACTTGTTACAGGTTTCTGGCACAAGTCGTCGATGGTTGCATAAAGCCAAAAAGGAGAAGATGAGCTCAAAAAGGCTAAGGCAGGTGCAATAACACTGCTTTGAAAAAGGGCTTTTATAAAATGAAAACAGTGGGAGAATAAGAGGAGTAAACGATTGGGGAACTACGGGGAAACTAGCAGGTAGCAGCCCCCTCCACACTCCGGTGGCGAGTCGGAGATGTGGTGAGGATGAGGAGGGCTAGGAGCAGCGTTGGGACGTGTGCTTTGTCAAAGCTGTTGAGTAGGCACAAACTTCTGGTTTCAGATCAGATTTCTTCTTCTTCTTCTTGTCACGATACTGTAGAACGGATGCTTCTCTTCTTCGTGTTTCGATTAGATGGGTGAACGTGCTTCTTTGGTCGTTTCAGGGTTTGGTTTCTTCGTCACTTTGAACACTTTGAAGTGATCCTTGATTTTTCCCCACGCGTGTCTTGGACTTTTTTGCTTGTTGTTCTGGAGGTTATTCGTCTGTTTTGTTTGTTTTGATCTGAACTTGAAGCAGTTGCGGATGGTACAAAAATTCTATTCCGTTTCACTTCATACTGCAGGGGAAGAAAAGAAAACAATTTAATCAAACAAATCATCACTCATCACTTTAGAATTTAAATGTTTCAATAAGTATAACTAGTACACAATATTTTTTCTTTGCCCCTATCCCAGTGTTTTAAAATAGCTTTCCTCAGAAGAGCCTGCACACACCCCACAATGGGAGGCAGCTGACTGAATGCACCAGGCAAAAGCTCTGGATCAACAAGTCACTTTAGGCGAGAGTTCAGTGATATTTATGGCCCCATTTCTGAACAAAGCAGAGTTGATTTTCTCTACTACAAAAAAATTGCTATTTGTTTCGTTTTATTGACAAGGTTTAATAAGTTATTAGATTTATTTTAAGGAATAAATCAGACCCCTAGTAAATAAATATGGTGGATTGACCCACATACAGTTTAAAAACAAGTGGGTTGAGTCAGTTAGGACACATGATATCTATTCTGGCATGCCTATGTTGCAATGACTACAGGCACATACACTTCCTGAATAGTTTACAAGTTAAGTTGAAAAATTATGAAATTACAAGCCCAAAGCAATAACAGACAATTTGAAGACTCTTAGGATTTTATTTTCAATGCCAAGTTTTAAGTCACTACTCGCTCCAAAACTATAAGCTATCAACTAGTAGTAAATGGGTTAAAGGTTGATCAGTGCAGAACAACTTGTCAGAGGCAGCCACGAGGACACGGTCTTCTCAACCCCCTCTTTTAACTCTATGACGCAGGTTGAAAAAACAGTCCACCCACCCAACTGTACACACCGATTGGACATTTTGAAATTTTTAACATACTTTGAACTTCTATGGTAACTATTTACCCGGAAACACATTTTTATGAAGCGGGCCCTGGCTCCCCAAGAAACCGCAGCTGATCCGGACAAACAACAGCCCCCACTGTCTGAACAGCATGTGACTGTCAAGCAATCCGCTTCCACTGCCTCAGCTGAACCAACAGTGGGGCCGGGGCCAAAAGCACGTAAAGGCATAAATGCACAGGAGACGATTCAACAAATACAACAAAACAGCGCACAGACGACAGTGATTTAATCAGGCAGGGTTATTCGTTCTACTTAGGATGGCTATCTCCACATCCAATCTTAGCTTCACAGATCAACTTTAAGCTCATGACACAGAGCCAGAGATCTTTCTGGACGTAAATTTGTTCCGCATGTCAGCTGCAATAATAATTTTTTTTAACGGGACATGTTTGATATTGATCTATTTGCATCGCCGTGCGGGATTACTAGATGCCCTTTAGTTTCATACGAAAAACCAAAGATTGACTTCAACATTTCGCAATTATGTGTTGGTTAAAATAAAATCGTAAGCTCCTAACTCATTCACATATGTTACTAAAATGGGGGAAGAGCAGTCCTAATGTCGCCCTGTCAGTGGACGCTATCCTTTCAAGAAATGTTTTGACCGTACTAAAGATTTTAACAGAAAATTTATTTTAAGATAACAATATCGTAATCATAGGAGGCTACAGATGATGCGTTATCGCTTGGACGAGATGCCACTGCGTGTTTGCCTTGAACCAAGGTCAGTAAAGGCTCCTGTGCCCTCACGGTACAGACACGACGATACTACGGCTCAGCACGAGGACGGGACAACAAAGAACTGCGACACGGCGCCGCACTTTCTATTCGCGATCTCCCCGCAGCTGTGTCAGTGAAAACTATAACAACAACACTGTGAAAACCACTTCTTTAGCGTTATATCGACACACGTGCTTTGTCCGTTTGTGTGAGAGGAGCTGTTAGCTAGGCTAGGCCGTACACCATGCTAACAAGAGGCTATGGATTGCTAGCATGCCGCTGCCCGATGTGGAGATTTATGTGAAGGAAAGAAAAGCTGTCCCCACCCAGGCCTGAACTCTGCGTCTCACCAAACTCTAAACACGCATCACATGTAACAGACACCCACAACAGGAATTTAGGGTAGTTCATCCACATGTTCTGATTCTATTAAAACTAAAAGCATATTGTAAATTATTTTAAAAACTCACCCCAACAGCTTTCAGCACTGTCACCAGCGCCGCTAGAAGCAGCACGGCACATTACGTAGTGATTATGGAGGCTGCTAGCGCGAGATTTGCCAACACTAACCCAACCAAAGAGTGTCAATACACAAGAGAGTTCAAATCCTGTTATCAACTGTAGTCTTGTGATTGAAAAACAAGTTTTAAAAGTAGTCTGAACATCTTAATCTACATAATTATTAACCCGTCTTGCATTTGGAAGACAAAACGAAAAATAAATAAATAAAAATAAATAAATAAAATAATAGACCTAATTAAACGACACCTTTATTACCAGCAGAATGAAATGTCCAATTACGTTTCATTAATGAATGTGTTTGTTGCTAATATTTGTATAGTATTTACTTTAAACGGTTACAAAACATAACTAAACAAATACAGTTTGAACGCTTTCAATTATACGATTCACGGTTACCGCCCAGTGAACTATAATAAAATCATATTATAGATCCATGTTACTCCCGTATCACCACGAGATGGCGCTGAAAGATAAACAGCGGAAGTGACGTTTCTTCAAGCCTCTCACGGAAATGACAGCCACCACAACAAACAAGAGTTTAGTTTGAAATGTGAGCATTTATTGTACACCTTTTTCCACCATTTAACAATTTATATGGGTTTATAAAGGTACGCCACAGGTAGACACTAACAGGAGACAGTTAGCAACGTTATAAAGGCTACATTAAGCTGCTTTAATTCTGCTCCTAACGAATCGCTCAGTTGGCTCTAGCTCGATAAAAGTTAGTTCGATAGGAGCTATTATTTGCGGTAAATGGCCTGCACTTTGGAAAAGGTGCTGGGCGATGCTCGGACGCTTCTGGAAAGGCTGAAAGAGCACGACACCGCGGCCGAAAGCCTGATCGAGCAGTCGGGGGCCCTCAACCACACCGTGCAGAGCATGAGAGAGGTGGGCAACGCTCCTCCTGAAAAGGTAGGCACCGTCTTATACCAATATCTTCTCATTAACCGCAGGCCAACCTAAACAGTGCATCTAGACTCTGACACTATTGTAATTACTCATCATTTACTAGTTTACTTGAACAGCGACAGCACAAACCCATGCCATATCTGTCACTGCTGTTATGCAGTTCTAAAGGCAGCTTTTTAATGGTATATTAAGGTATTTAAAGTATGAAATTAGGTCATTAAATACAATTCTGATATGTAGTTTCCTCTTTTGGATGATTTTTGAGATTATAGCATTAATAGTCTTATAATACAAAAAATGGACTCTCGTGGGATTTAAGCCTTGTTAGAATGTTTTTTTTTTTTTTTTTCATTCATACAAGTTTCAGTAGTTTCCAGTGTTGAAATGACAAATTCAGTGGAGCACCTGTATTACCATATGCCATCACAAGGTGCACAAGAGTATATTTTCTGTTTGAGTGAAGACCGTAAATATGCAGGGTTTGTGTGTTAAATGTGTGAATGAAACAAAACACAACTCAGGGCAAGTTTCTGATGAGTAAACAACATTCTAACATAGATCAGAAATTGCGTACTATGAGCTCTTTTAAATCTAGCCCTTGCTCTGCTGTTTTGTAAATATTTAGGCTATTTAAGGTGGTGATCTGTACATTAGTAGCAATAAATTTCTTAATTTTAATGGTGTATTTTCAGCATATAGAAGATGCCTCAGTGATTCAAGAGCTCAGCAAATACAAGCCACATGCACTTCTAACTCAGGAAAACACTCAAATCAAGGAACTCCAGCAAGAAAACAAAGGTATTGGTTTAGTGTTGCCAATATTTAATTCATATATAATAACTAACACTGTTATACTTTTTATATATTAATAATTTACCTACATTTTATAGAACTATGGCTGTCTCTAGAAGAACACCAGTATGCTCTAGAACTCATCATGGGTCGGTATCGCAAACAGATGCTCCAGCTGATGATGGCAAAGAAGGAACTGGACACAAAGCCTGTGCTTTCAATGCATGAGGATTATGCTAAGGTATGATAGCTCTCTCTCATACTGTACCTTAATTTAGACAACCATGCAATGTATGGGACAAATTTTGTGTTTTTTGTGTTTTCAGGAGGTGCAGGGTCAATTAGAGAGGATATGCGAGATGGGCCAGGTGATGAGGAAAGCGGTGCAAGTAGACGACCAGCATTACTGCTCTGTTAGAGAGAGGTTGGCACAATTAGAGGTAAGACTGATGGTGTCTGTATTTCAGATTTTTACTTCCTACTTGCTACTGTAATTATACTATTATTAATACAAATAAGATATTTGAGAGTGCTTTAAGCTACATTTTAAGTCTCAAGTAACATCTTTGAGGAGTAAAAAGAAATTCACTCTAGTGCCCCTCTCCTCGGCAAGTGCTTCAAGCCTGATAAAATGCACTGAATAGAGATTTTAATTTTAAATTGTCTTTTTGCAAAGTGGGAAGATATGATGAGAGCTACTGTGTCCAAATAATTTTCCTTATGGATCATTTAAAGTTTTTCTAAGTCTAATGTGACACAAAAACTTACAGCATTTCTTCTTGTTCATTTTTAAGATTGAAAACAAGGAATTACGTGACCTTCTGACCATCAGCAAGGCATCTGTATGTGTACCAAAAGAAGATTCTAATGAACCAGCCCCAGCAACAAAAATTATACCCACTACTGTCACAACAACAACTAAAATGGAAGAGACAATCTTGACCCCAACCACTACAGTGCCACAGGAAGCAAATTCAGAACCAGAATCTAGTACAGATCAGTGAAAAACACCACCAACATTCACTATCTATATTTGTATTACTATGCGCATATCTTTGTAGCATCACAAATCACCACATTCTCACTGTAGTCTTTTTTCTATTTGGCCAAAATTGACTTTTTCTACCTCTAATGTGATCCAATTTAGCAACGCAAAGCATAAGCAAATGTAAATAGCCACAGCTGCCATGGTTTACTGTACTATCTTCTAGTCTTTCCAGTTAATGTAGCTTATACGCTCAGTGTCAAGACTGTTTTTAAACACAATATAGCTGAAGACTTGCAGTAGACAATTTCTATGTTTATTGTCAGTTGTGAATTTATATATGCATTGTTGGTGCATTATTTTTCCATCTATGCTTCCAGGTGCCAATTTTTTTCTAATAATGTATTTCTAAATTATGTATACCACTTTACAGCACAGTTTGTTTAAAGTTTTAGAAAGTGTGTTTTGAAAATCGCCTGTGTGGTCAAACGATGTGCATTGTCATCTCAGGAAATCAGTGTTACAGTGGTGTGTTCAAAATTAATAAAAATAAAGTTGGTATAAAATGTTTGAGTGACATTAAAATTATATCATACTTTCTCTCATTGGGACATCCCTGATTTGTGGAGGCTGGTAATAAAATTATTATACATTCATGACCTATTCATGACTTATTACAATTAACATATGAGTCGATATAGTCACATTTTCTTTGTGTTTTAGTGTATTTTATCTAAAGGAATGACAAAATATGCCTCTCTTTACTGCTGGCAGGGATCAGATTGGTCAAAAATAAGGACACCTGAGACATTTCTTGATCAAACTGGGACAAATCAATGGTTTTGGATAAATCCACTGGGACAGGGGGACACAGGGCTCAAAACTAGGAATGTCTCAGTTAAATAGGGACGTCTGGTCATCGTATCCAAAAGACATCCAGGTTTGTTTTGTGTTAACATAGTAAAATGACATTGCATTGTGTCATTTAATAAGTGTTGCCTGCTTCAAACCCATTAATGCAGCCACACCTAAGAAAAAATGGGACAAACATGTAAAACATAAATGAACAGGTTATTGATATGAATGTTAGTTATACATTAGTTAATGTTTACTATATGTCTTTTTTGCGTTACCATTTTTGACCATAAGATGGTGCCATTAGATTTACCATTCCAGTATTCTAAACGGCTCGACCGTAGTATCCCAATACCCCCTTTACTTCCTAAATTAATTTACAAAATGCCATCTGTAACACTGTATTTTTAAAGACCCTTTGAAACTCTCCATTCCGGTAGAACCTCCTTGAAGTGCCCAATATTTTTTCCGTTGTCCCTTCGCCTAACAACCCGTGAACGCCTCACGGTGACTGCGCTGACACTTGAAGCCTGACCTGAGCTAAAGCTTAGCATGTCTGAGAAAGAGCTGGGGAAGAAATGGGACCGCTGCCTGGCTGATGCGGCTGTCAAGCTCGGTAAATATATACAGGTCTTCCGCTTATGCATCCAGCCATATGTCCCATAATAAAGACCTAAAATTTCCACGGATTTCATAGTTCTTCACAGTTGTCATTGGCTGCATGAGGCTAACTAGCTAGTCCACGTAAAGGACACAGAAGCACCACTTGAGTTTATTGTAATGTTTTCGCTACGTCTGTTAGAATAGACTGTTATTGCCATATAATTTGTGTGAATTGCTTTAATGAAGGTTTGATATGGGCAGTATTCTGTATACATTCATAGTACTTCACAGTTTGAATGAAATGGCAGTGTGGCCAACACCTCATGCATGAATCCAATATGACAGGTTCAATAGTGCGGCTTCATTTTGTCCAGACGATGTGTTCATTTTGCTTTGTTTGTTACAGGCACCGGTCTGGGATTGGGAATAGTCTTTTCTGTCATCTTCTTTAAACGTAAGTCAGGATAAAATTTATGTTCATCTCCTTTCATGGGCTGTCTGTTTTGCCCATTGGAACACCGTGGCCAATATTTGGACCATTTCAATCCTTATGAAATGGGGTAACCTAATTTATTTATAGGAGTAAATTGGCTCTCCAGTACACATTATGTATCCCTCTCATAGAACTATAATACATTTTTTTATAGATTCATGATCCATCTCAATGAGAAATATAATGATATACAATTCAATTCTGATCTCACCATGGCATGACAAACTGCCAGTGTGCGTTTCGGTTTAATATCTTTTCTCTAAACATTTGATTATTCAGCCTCTCATGCTCTGAGTAAGAGACTGTTGGAGTGAAATTATTTAATTTACCTTCTAAAGCAGTATGCTTTATATCAAAATTATGACCTTGGCTTTATAAAATAGCTATTTACTCATTTGCCTATTCCCACGCTTATTTCAAATCAAGTGCCTCCACTTCTCTGTATTTTATGTGAAACCTGTGGAATATATGAGAGTGGGATGTAGTACACTTGTGGGTCAAGGACAAAACACGCTGTGTCACATAATCTGTCAAGTGTTTTATACTGCATTAAATTAATATATTAGTATCCTTTTGTAGGACATACATGGCCAATCTCTCTGGGCTCTGGTGCTGGACTGGGGATGGCCTACGCAAACTGCCAGAATGATCTAAGATCACATTACATGTTACGGAAAAGTGAAAAGGTTAGTGCCTATTTTTAGAGTCCTAAACAAAACTCTGATTATGTTTTGTTGTTCATGTTAAAACTGATCACAGTATTAGATCCTGTAATCACGCCATTGCAGCGATTCTAATACTTTTGTCAAATTTGCTGTATGCATAGTGTGGATGTTTTAATAAATAATAAAACATCATTATTAATCATATCTGTCATGATGCCAAAATAACTTGTTGGTTCCAGATTATATAAACATTATGTAAGAATGTGAATCAGAATTACTTTTATTCATCCCCAAGGATTTCAATGTGTATTCTTATCATACTTTGTATGTTGTATTTGTTGTTGCATGGGTTGTATTTTTCTGACCACTGATAATAAATGCACTTCTTAAATGTAATCTCTTCAAAATTGTATTAATTTATTTGAAATTTTATTTGAAATATATGAATGTGTTCAATGTTCAACAGAAATGGCCTAACTCCATCTGTTGTGTGTTTTCCCACAGGAGGCGTAGCTGCATGTGGTCGTGGGCCATTTTTCTTCCATTTATGTTTTTTTCAGATCTCTGAGAAAGTCATCATTAATATTGCACTGTTGTCGGACAACTCTTTCAAGTCTGTGTCATTTATGTGCGTCTAATCACATTTATTTAATACAATAGAAGTGTTTTTTCAAAAATAAAATGTAATGAATGAAACCTGATTCTAAAAATGTATGGTAATAAATGAATCAAAAAATTAAGGATGTAATGATTTCATGAAAATGTATTTATGAATGCTCGTGGGTGGAAGTGTGAAGTGTTGGAAATGTGGTGTCATTGTACCATAAGGAGGTGGGCTAGGAGCAGCAGAGGGGGTTAGGAGGTTGAAAGATGACAGCCGTGCACCAGTGGACATTAGTCAGATCTGGGAGCGCTTGAGGACAGGAAGCTGTGGTTGTCAAGGCTAAAGTTAATTTAAAATTTGATGGATTGTAACAGTGAATCATCTCCCCTCAATCCTATTTAGTTTGATGGCATTCACTGAACAATTCTTAAATTCCTAAGTAAAATTAGATGAAAACCAATAAAAGGTTATATAAGCATGCAGAAACAGTGAACTTGAATAATGATGTTTATATGACATATTAATATAATAACAGTACATGCTTGGTTGCACAATGTATTACCAGGGCTGTCAATAATATTTTGCACACATTGTTCAATCATTACACACAGATGACTGAACAATTTTGTTGAACTGCAGTTTGCTTCTGAACTTGTTTCCACTGTCTCTGATGATAGCATAACTGCAATTTGTACTGCATGTAATATTAAACAGAACAGTAGTTATCCCTTTAATGTGAAAATATTGTTATCAATTTAGCAAATGAAGCTGAGTTTAAATGGAGTAATTGAAATCAAAAGCTTAACTGGTTTGCGTGACTCTGGCTTGAGATGAAATGATAGACACACTGAAGATCTATAAAACTAAATCTAACATTAGTCTTGTCAAATTTAAGAATGACTGAAGAATGTGTTCCCTACATCTTAGGTACCAATACCAAAAATAATAGCAAGTACACAAGAGTTAGTTGTTAAGTGATCAGACAGTGCTGTGAATCACTTGTTGAAAACACCATGACCAAACATGGCAGAAGACCACCCACGGCTGTTCCTATGATTAGAGTGATCATCTCCTGGCTGTGATGGTGCATTAACAGCTCCAACACGTTCCAGGCTTACAGACTGGCTGAGGTGCGCTAGAGTGGCCGACACGGGGATTAACCACAGCGAGAGCACTACCTGTAGAGCTCTCAGGGACAAAGCCATGCTCCGAAAGACAGCCTCACAAGTCCTTCCTTTTCATTTCGACTCCTTGAATAAAATACAGCAATTCCACCAAAAGGATTTACTTGTGCACTTGTACCAGGTGAAACAGGATTCAGAGAACTGCTCCATTCGTCTTCTCACCGGCAAAGCACGTCTCTCCCCTCCGCATGTGCCCTGCTCCGGCTCCAATGAACGCTCCCAAACTCACAGTCAGAAGCTGAATGGTTCACTCCGGCTCTAAGCTCTGAACGAGAGAGGGAGACTGGCACAAATGGAGACATAAGGAAACTTGATTTGGGGATTTCCTTCACTTAGAAATGCTCTGGAGATATTTGGATACAAATCTATTTTGGATTTATTTTTGTGATGCTTTTTTATTCTTCAGTCACAACAGATGTTGTACAGCAACTGGATTCTCACAAGATTTAGGCAATGCTTTTGGACCAATGTTGTGTTGCAATACTGGCTCTAATAGGCATGTGCAAGGTTCAAAAACTTTCCAAATGTTCCAAATGATACTTATCTTATATCTAAGTGGGAAAAAACAAAAAATTGTGATTAAAAATTGTATGAAAAATTTAAAAATATTCAACTTTGAATTCACTGGTAATTGAAAATTATTTTCTGAAAACGAGACTGATTGCATCACTACCATAGAAGTACCTATCATTTAGACTAATTAAAAAGAAAACTGTTTCGCATCTTTGACCTGAAGACCGCCTGAAGAACACCTGAAGATCATGACAGATTCTTATTTACCAGCCTCCTCAGGAAACCTGAGCAGCATAGCCTCCTCAGCCAGTGCTTGGGACATCACTGGTAGTGGTCCATGGCTCTTAGCGTTCATGCTAACCATTATTATTCTGATGACTGCTTGTGGAAACATGCTGCTCATTGCTTTAGTATTTGCCCACCGCTCTTTGCGCTGCACCTCCAACTGTTTCTTAGTATCTCTGTTCTTCTCTGACCTCATGGTGGCGCTAGTAGTGATGCCCCCAGCCATGTTAAATGTTCTGTGTGGAGCATGGGTCCTGTGGCCTGCTTTTTGCCCCATTTGGCTTTGTTTTGATGTCATGTGTTGTAGTGCATCCATTTTGAACTTATGTGTGATAAGTCTGGACAGATACATCTTCATCATCTCTCCATTGCGATACAAGCAAAGGATGACCCCACCTCGAGCATTACTTTTAGTAGCAGCAGCCTGGGGGTTAGCGGCTTTAGCTTCTTTCCTTCCTATTGAACTAAAATGGCACAGTTTAGGTCACTGGAGTGGACCCTCACAAAGCAATCTGAGCTACTCGGATAACCCTTACCCAGAGTCCTACTTTCAGCTGTCACCAGGGGGACTTTCATTTCAGTGCCGCCTGAGAGTGACCCTCCCTTTTGCCCTGGTAGCTTCAGTACTAACTTTCTTTTTGCCCTCAAGTGCCATTTGCTTTACATACTGTCGGATACTTCTGGCAGCAAGAAGGCAGGCAAAGAGAGTGGCCGCCCTGAGCCACCCACCCCACCCACACGCCTCTCTAGGGGAGCCCTCAAGACCACCTTCACCCGGGGCCATGGCTGGAAACCCAGACGGAGATGATTGCAGTCACCACGAGCCTTTGGTGGCACCACACGCACCGGTAAGAAATAGAAAGCAAACATAAGTTATTCTTAGGATATTGTATAAAAAAAGCTAAAATCATACATTCAGCCTGTACGCTTAGACTTAGAAATCTTCAGCCAACCAAATGTACGGAGGAGGGATTGCGTCAAGATTGTTACAACTGCTTGAATGTAAGAAGTACATTGATAGCTATGACCAAAATAGTCTATGCAATTCATAATTTATTCTGTTAACAATTTACAAATGATATACTCTAAGCTTAATTACATTTTTTAAGATTAACTGAAAGTATCGCTGATTTAAAGTTAAACATGGATTTGACTTTGTATCTTTTATTCACCGCTATAGAAAAATACAGAAAACATGAATTGTCTATTAAATAATAACAGCCCTAACATTTTCATCATGCTCATTTGTAGTTGCCAAATTACAAACCAGAACCAGAACATCCCTGAAAAAAGACATTAATTACCTGACAAATCTATCATTAAATGCTTTTGATGAGAAAATAATATTGATGAACAGTATTATAAGACCTATTCAGAATCAGAATTTCCGGCCCTCGTTAAAAACACAAATTAAAAAGAGTCTTTGTTAAACACGATGTAGTATGTTTTATATTTTAGACGTAATTAGTTGTTTTCTAAAAGCCAGTCTCACAATTAAGGCCAGAGAGCATTAATTAAACTGTGTCACTGAATTGAATTAATTTCCATATTCTAATATACTTTTTAGTTGCGGGTTACGTGTAAATGGAGTAGCTTTGATGAATGGTTTTTAACCTTGTCTGCTCCGAATGACTCACCCTTTTGCATAACTCTTTTATCTGCAGTGACACAGATTCTTACGTGGACTTTGAAAAAATATGTCACGACTTAATAAAATACTACATAATGGTTGTTGAGATAAATTATTGAGATACTCCAATGTACTGCTAATGTTAAAGTGAATGAAAATGTATGTATAATCACTATAATATTAATTCCTGTATTATGCTATGCTATGATTTATGTTGTAATGTTGTTTCTTCATCAAAACATCCCTAGAGTTTTGTTTTGTCTCATTCACACATGTTTAACACACATAGTTCTTCTCTCAAACTGAAAACACACTGTTCTACAATGTGACGTCATGTGGTAATACAGGAAGTGCTCCACTGTGTTTTTAAACTCCATACACCTTCGCTAAAATCATTTGAATGATTTCAGCCCTGGAAATCCTAATCTCTACTGAACTGAAGGTAAAATGTAGCTGCTAACTTGAAAACTTGTAATTTCAATTTTGGAGATGTAGATGTAGACAGACTAATAACAAAGGATTATTCAAACGTTTGAATGAAACAAAACACAACACCAGGTATGTTTTTCTGGAGGTACCAACATTATAACATGACTTAAAGCTCACAAGAATTACTTTTGTGCAATATTGAACCTTTAATAATGCAAAAAGCAACACAAGCACAAGTAGAATCACCATTTTGGAGAAGCAAATTCTAGTAATTAATTGTGCATGTTGTGGGATTTTCAGTGTTAAAAAAAAAAAATTTCCTTAGCACATTGTCTATCACCTTTACTTTTAGAACTGACACCTTACAGCAATGTGTTCAAGAACCACAAAACAAAGAACCTAACAACAACTAATGAGATGTGTGATCCTCCATTTCCTCTACTAAGCACACTAACCTTGGACCTCCCATTGGTCCTGCAGCACTCAGTCAACAGTGAGCGGCGCCTAGCCCATCGTCAGGGTCGACGGGCGCTCAAGGCCAGTCTCACACTGGGGGTGCTCCTGGGGCTCTTCTTTAGCACGTGGCTCCCTTTCTTCATCACCAACATGGCCCAGGTCAGTGAATGCTACAATTTAAAGTATGGTGACTGTTAGAATCATAAAGTCATGCTAATGGGAATCAGGGATGCACCAATTCGATACTGGTATTGAATATCTGAGCCAATACTGAAAAATAAGCTGGATTGGATAGCCGCTTCAAATACTGGTTCAGTCGTATTTAATTATACAAAGCTCTTCTGTAGTTACCTCAGAGATAAATAACAGCTACATAACACATTTGGATCAGTTCTTTATTTTTGTTTTAAGGAAATGTTTTCAGTCTCTGCTCTGGTATTGGCACATACTTAAATCTATATTATTGGAATCTGTATCAGAAGTGAAAAAGCTGGGTTGGTGCATCCCTAATGGAAATCAAGATAATATAGGCTACTGTGCACAATATTATTTTGCTAACTCAAAACTGAATGATATAAGACCAGGAAATGCAGTGGGAAGGGAACACAGAGACTGGTTAAAAATCCCATTGACCTATCATGGTTATGTATTCCTCCCCAAAACTGCAGATTTACCCTTTTGATACTTTGCAGTGGCATCATGTGGGGGGTGTCTACATGCATGTTTATTGGTGGAATGTTTAACAGTTACCATGGTGACCCGATGCAGACATAAGCAAAAATTGCCAAAAAATGTGTGTAAAATCCCTCAGTCATCCAGGTAGAATCCAAGGCAAAGGAGAATTAAATTTGTCAACTTGGACAAAAGTTTATTTTGGTCAAACAAAAAGAAAAAAAAAATCTATAAACTTTTGTCCATCATCAGCCTGTTTTACTTTGAGGAAACCTCGCAGCATTAGGATTCGTTTGCTCAACGGTAGGCGGATACTTTTTTAAATTTTTATTATATTATTATATAATTTTTTATTTAACCAATTGCTGCTATTTGGTCGTGACATATGTAATGCGCCGCTAATTGATATATTAAGCTTTTCCCAGATCTCGTAGGAAGAAGGGTAATAACGTCTTTCCCCTTCACCAAACATTCTCTTTATTCTGACTTTAAATCCTCAATCTCGGAAATCGTTGCCAACACAAAATATATGGCTCTTCGCTGATTGGCTGGTGTCCGGACTTGCACTTCCAGGGTTCTTGCAAACCATCTAGTGTATTCTGATTCTAGTCGCTGGCGAGAAATGAAATTGAGCGGAGGTACTAGGTGGCACCAGCCTGGCTAGTTTAATATAATCTGAAAATGTAAGACAATTTAGGCAACACGTTTTCAGGAGCCTGTGATCAAAACACAAAAAGCGTTCATGGTCCTGTTAAGGTGTTTGATTTTCAACAAAAATCTGAAAGTGATTCACTGAAAAGCTGCTAACTAGCTTTTGAGTGTAATGTTATCTGAGAGGGACTTGTTTAACAGCACAAAACATCTCACCTGTTGTGGGTCTAAATCAATTCTTTCTAGTCAGATTGTGTTAAAATAAAGATCAAATTAAAATCCAATTTGAGTAACAGAGCTTCTAACAGAGCAGTGCTTTCTCTTAGCTTCACACGCCCAGAGAATGTTGACGACATCAGCTGCAAAGTATCAATAGATTAAAAAATACTTATGTTAGGATTATGGTTTATGATGGCTGCATGGATAAGACTTGTTGACTTTATTTGTCAACTAACAAGGCATTGTTAGTGTTCCTTTCAAAATTACAGCTGACATTTACAGCCTCTCCATTTACAGCCTCTCCATTTACAGCCTATATTAGTTTCAGAGAGCTCACAAAAGAATCAGATGTTAAAACCCCTAAAGGCTGCGGGTGACTGCTTTTGTCAAATCACTCGTATGAGTTGTTTTTGTCATTTTTCCCACAAAAGCGAAAACGCGTCTCTTAATAAAGCCGTGAAAGAAATGCAAACGACAAACACACTTGGATACCGGTCTATTTTGGTGCTGGCCAGTCTTGTCGTCACGGCGATCCAACTAAGAAATAGTTTGGCATTTGAGCTTTTTGCATGGCTGACTCATCATTTGAAAACAAGATGAAAAAGTGCCATGTAGGACCAGCTTTTGGGATACTTGGATCTGATTAGAGGACTGCGTTGATTACTCACAGCAAACAGAAAATTTAGACGAGAGCAAATGAATGTCAGAAATCAGCTTAGTCTAATTGGTCATGTTAATTGCTTTTTTGGAGTATTCAATGATGCTGTCGTTTTGATTATCCATCTGTGCCCACTCACTCCTCCCTGCCATAGACATGTAGAGCCTCACAGACTGTGGCGTGTCTGCTCTCTCCTTCCTTTTTCGCACTCAATGTGGTGTGTGAAGCGCAGCCCTCCCTCGCTCCTGTTCCCACCACCTCGCCGTTTCATCTTCATAGTATTGGAAGTTCTCCTCTAACAGCTGTCTCCTCCTTCACTGTTCCCTCTCTACCTCCTGCTAATGTATACGTAGAATTCATGCAGAAACAATGTGATAATCAGCCCAGGTTTCCGTTTCAGCCCCATTCTTCATTACGCGTTTTTATTTTGTTGAAAGGTTCCAGGAGTGCACAGCTGAACCGTGTGATACACAATGAAGGTTTCAGTAAATCATGTCAAATCATTATATCTGTATAAAAGAAGTTATCATATAAAGTCTTTGGTTATTAAACTTTTACTGGTGAGGGTCTGCCATCTACTTATTTCCATGGAGATGTCAATGCTTTACCTGGAGTATTCCACTGGCAATAAACAGTCTCCAGGGAAAAGCTGATGATGCCACCAGGCCAAATAACAGAGTACAATTTGTGGAAAGCCAAGTCCACTCATGAATCCATGTGTGGTATTTATTTATCAATATAAAAACATGTAAATGATCAATGCAAGATGTTATGCTTAATGCCATATAGTGGAATCTTCCATAGTAAGGCAAAGCAATAACATGATAGCAAAGCAATATCTCCATGGGAACAAACAGACGGTATATCCCACCACAAAAGTTACAGACTTTACACAAGATTGCTTTTCTAGCACAAAACATTTATCAAGGGTTGGGACTTTAATAATTAAAAATACATTTTTAGTCAAGTTATTACCAGTAAAAAATCTGAATGTTAAACTGTATATTCTGTATAACAAAGGTGCAACAATAAATGGAAAAATTGTCATGACAGAAAAAGTTAATTATTTGCAAAATCTAATTATTATTCAGTAGAGTACAGTAATTATCTTGTTTTTGTTAAGTTTTAGAAACAGAAAAATATGATTCATGGGAGACACTGATGAGTCACAGTGCAGGGGAAGCTTGTACAGCACACTCCAAAACAATTTCTCGTGTCCTAGTCTGGCTTTCTAGATGCCAAATTATATGTTGGAATTTGCGTGTGTGTGTGTATGTGTGCGCGCGCAGGTTTAGAAAATGTGAAATTATTATAACTTTAAGTTCAAATAATTTGGAATCTCTACAAAGAATGGAGCTTATTTATAATATACTCTTTTGCTCAATCACCATTGAACGCCGGGTAATGCATTACAAGAACAATAAGTACACTTTTAATAGTCTTGCAGTAATAGCCATAAAGCATAAACAAACAAGTTCTTAGTACCTTAATACCTACTAATCACTAATGCTTAACAATCCAAACTTCTTAATTAAGTTGTTTTTAAGCCTGAATCATTCTTGCACTGTGTAAATTTCTGGGTGGTGGGTCCATCACCATGGAGATGTTGTTGCTTTCCCTGGAATTTTTCACACATGATTATGATATTAAACTCATTTATTTCCATGGAGACAAGCACCAAGCTAATTTACAGGTTTGGCTTGTGGAAAGATGGGCCCGCCTACAGTAGAATACATATTTTTCAAGGTACTGTTTTATTGTAAAAAAACAAAACAAAACACTATATTTAAAAAATAAGCAAGTTTAATATCATACTGTGGTGCATTTCAGGGAAAACAATCTTCTCCATGTATATCTCCATGGACACAACCAGGAGCTGGACTCTTACCAGAAAAGTTATACAATGCACCTTTGTACTGTTTTTTTTTTTTTTTTTTACATCTATAGAAAAAATAGACAAACACAGATTTTTCTTTCTCTCTTTCTGTCACCCTCTAGGCTGTGTGTGAGTGCGTCCCAGTGGCCTTGTTTGACGCCATTACCTGGCTGGGCTACTGCAACAGCACTATGAACCCCATCATCTACCCTCTGTTCATGAGGGACTTTAAACGTGCTCTGGGGAAGCTTTTACCTTGCTGCTCTTCTCGCTCACCTCGGAGACCATCACCTGCGTTGTCTCTCTCTCTCCGAAACTCCGGAGAGCCCAACATGGTCAGCAGCCCCCCCTCTCCTCTGCCCTCCGATCCCATGCACCCTCCAGCCACTGCCACAGATGCCGTCAACCTGCTGGATGCACACGCTGGCATCGAGCTACCTCTGCTCCTGCCAAACCAAGTGGACACACTGGACTAAAGTGAGAGAGCAAAAGAATAAATTAGAAGACTTTTTCAGATATAAAACTACAAACTGTAGGAAGTGAAAAATAAAACTAACATTTCCACAAAAAATCTAAGATGTACGAAGTACGAAGAAAACTGTCAATATTTCATGAAAAACATATTTAAAGGTGCAAACTCCTAGCATTTCTTAAATTACAGGTGTTTTATTGTTCAAACACGGCTTGACCATGCATTCTTTCTGTTAGCAAAGACACCTTCCCACATATCAGACCCATAACTTGGCCCGGTGGCACCTTCTGTTTGTTTCCATCGAGATATGTTTAATGTTAATCTGTCGACCATTCTTGGCTAAAAAAATAACATCTCCAAAGAGAAGCAGGTGGCAGACCCCTCCCCCAACATGAAAAGCTACATATTGTACCTTTAAGTCAGATTTTATCTTTTAATTTGCAGCACTAAGAAATATTAGATAAAACAAACACACTTAGATAGGAGTCACTTTCATACAAACAGCTACATTAACAAAAAGTGTGAATGTTCAATAACTGACACTGACTCCACTTGTTTGTTGATTTGAGCCACCGGCTCTTTTGCAAAATCAAGCACAAATTGTGTTCGGTGATAAGAAAAACTGCAAATGTAACTGTAAAAGATGTGCAGTCATTCAAAAAATACAGAGGAAAGAATTAATTAGGATTTTTTTTTTTTTTTTATCTTGAGGTCTGTAAAAGACAAAAACAGGTAGGTGGTCAAAAACTTAACATTTTATTAACACGTTGATGGGGGGACATGTTTTGAACTTTGAATTTAAGATTAACTTTCTTAAATTTCTTATGCTTAGAAATGAAATACCTAAAAATTACATAGATGTTTGAAATATTATTGTATTTTAGAAAATGTAATCGTGATTCTATTAAAAATAACTTGTAAATTCAGTTTGCATACCAAAAATTTTAAAATAATTTGGAGAATTATTTTATGAAGTAAACAATAATCTCAAATTTAAAATGATGCCAAATCCAAAAGCACTCTTCTTGTTGGCCGTTATGCTCTTCCCTACCAGTGTTTGCGCACAAAGTAATAATAGTTCTTTACAGTATTTGGTGCAAAAAGGAAGTCCTTGAATCTTTGAAATGCAATGAGTGAATTTTCGAAGCCTTATGGTGTTAATCTAACTGTGACAATATCCATGGTAACCAGGCCAACTGGTAAAATTAGACAGCGAGAAGATGTGTATCATATCATTTTCACAGCCCATAAGGACGCTATCAATAACTAATAAATTAAAACAGAATTCACAGTTTCAAGAAATTAGATTAGCCTTAAAGCAAATGAAGCTGCCATATTTCTTCAGAGTGTTCTTTGTGCTGAAAATGGAATGTTTTTTTCCTCAAAGATACTGAAGCAAAGTGTGAAGAGTTTACAAGTAAGCAGCTGGTCTACTGACATGCTCTTTTTTACAAGTTTGGCCTCTTCTGTTCGAGTGTGTGCTCTGTGATCCACTGTGTATCGTCCCAGCTCCATGATATGTGCTCACTATCTGCCTCCTCTGAGTTGTGCCCATTGGAAACAGTGTCACTGGCAGTAATTTTGTCCTGAGTAGAAAGTGGAGCAGTGAGTTCACTGTTCTCTGTTTCACTTTCACTTAGCGTGTCCAGCAGGTCAGAAATATCAGGGATATCCCAGCCATCTGTGGCCTGCTCCTCTGGCTCCTCTGTCTCCTGGATCTCCTCACTGAGAGCTTGGTGCTCCTCTGAGATCTGGTCTGAGAAATTCACTGTCCCATTTTGAATTGCCACAGACTGAGACAGGAGACTGACAGAAGCTCCTTGGACTTCATTTGTAGGCACTCCTACTGCTACCAAGATAGTGTCCATTTGGTGCATGTAGTCCAAGTGACCCTTGACCTAGAAACAAATATAACACACTTTTAGAAACATAATTTATCAGTTTTCAAAATATACATATATAAAAGCTCAGCGGAACTTATTAATTTACTAAAAATAGAAACTCAGGTGCTACATACTCAATTCTAATTTAGCTTAAAGCCTTAAAGACAAGAAACCACCCTTGAGCCTCCCAGTGAAAAAAGATGTTTAGATAACAAAACTCTTGCTACTTTTGTTGCGATCAACAGGCAATGCTGTGAAGTCCAACACAAACCAAGTGGGGCCTTACTTTTTATGCCATGCATTCTGTAGCATATGAAAAAATATATTTCTCACCTTTAATTAAAAGTTTGACCTTCTATATGTGGCACTTAAGAACACATTTCAACAACATGAAAAAGGCTGATAAGATATACACATGGAAACTGAACAAAACAATAAAACATAATATGTTTTTCTTTCTACTGATTAATTAGATTCAGTATTTAATTTCTATTTTGTGTTGCTTATAGTTACCTATCTTTATGAACAGTGTGGTTCTTTAATTTCATGTTGGTAATGATACTTGCCATTTAATGTCACTCTGAGTCTGTGACACAAATATATTTATAATATGTGATTTATTATTTGTACGGTATTATGACCAATTATATTATACAGAAGCTGGTTTTGTGTAATTTATTGAATGTGACACAATGTACTGTGAGATGTAAATTTTTCAACACCAGCACAGACTTACCACAGAGGAAAGATCTACATTAATAATGCGCCGGTCCTGGACATTGATTGGCTGTAATCCAGCAACAGACATTTGGGCGGCTGAGCTTCTATACAGGAACCCTAGAAGCCAATCTCCTCTAAAAATATTTTTCAAAAAGGCATGTTTACAAATGACAAATCAAAAGCCAAATTTCCCCCATTCTAAATAATAACCATGAATGGAAGCTACAAAATAAACACTACAATACCTGCAGTATCCATTAACAATTTTTCCAGCGACTACCCTCGTCATTTTCTCCCAGGCCTTTTCAGAGCCTTCCACCGGAGCTCCCAGTAAGACCACATCCTCCACCACTCCTTCACTGCCTGACAATGACAAAAGCTTGTGTTCAATATAACAATGAAAGTATTCTGTAAGTACAATGGACCAAAAATGTGCCTTTACCATGCCTTTGCTCCAAACTTTGATATGACTGAATCAAATGCTAACTGAATCTGAACTCAATAACAATATTGAACTTACCTGACCAGAACTGATCCAAAAATGCATGTTGAATTAAACTGCATTAGCTTTGGCGATTTTAAACCAAAGTTTCAGGAAAAAATACAGTATAATCAAAGAGATCACAGTAAACAAAGAATCTACCTTGTTCATTTGCAAGCTCTTGTAGACAAAAGTAAATGACTCTGGCTCCGAGGCTGAACCCTATCAGACTGACAGGACGCTTCCCCTTTGAGGACACACACACAGCGTTACTTTGTCACATTCATATTGGGCAGTAGTTGTTATTTTTTTCAGTGAAGCGTTTTGTCAGACCTGCTGCCTGCTCCTCAGAACCTGCGCCAGGTGCTTTCCCACTTCAGCAGAGCGACTCAGGCACACACACCACGGGTTGTCAATCACACTGGCTGCAGCTAAAAGAGATGCTGGCCATGTGAGAGCGGTCACGATACCTGAACAAAGAAGGGGAGTCCAGTCATCAGTAGTTATAGTATATAGTATTACAGTTATTATTATAGTTAAAGGACCCATATTATGCCATTTTCTATATTTCTATGTTATAATGTTTTCCTCATTATACCTGGAGTAGTGTTTTGTTTCATTCACACATGTTTACACAGAAACCCCTCAAACAGAAACACACAGTTCCACCTTGTAACATCATGTGAATTTAAACTCTATTCCTTCATTTGGATAATTTCAGCCCTGGAATTGACAATCTCTACTAAACAAACGTTAAAAGGTAGTTGTAAACTTGAAAACTACTACTGCATGACATCACTTGGTAACAGAGCATTTTGAGCTTTGGAGACATTTTCAGCTTTGGTAGACAGACTAATAATAAAGGATTACTTAAACATGTGTGAATGAAACAAAACACAACTCCAGGTACATTTTGAGGTAACAGTATTATAATATCATGGCTAAAGGCCCACAAGAATCAATTTTGCATAATATGACCTTTAACTGTGTTGCAAAAATAAACTTTTAGAAGCATTATTGTTTTGGCCAACTGTGACTGATTTGAGAAAGATGAATTAATTAACTGTTGTTGTCTCCTTAGGCAAGAAACTTCACACACACATTTCCTAATATGGAAGTGGTGTGTGTGTGAGTGTTGGTGTTGGTTGGAGGAGCTATACAAATAAAGGTGCTTTATAAATCCAATCATTAATTAATTAAAATACGTCATCCAATTTAAATTTGAAATGTGTCAGAATGCATGTTTTGATCCATCTGTGGAGTATGTGTGTGTTTTTATGTGGTGTTTTTTGAACATTTTTAAGTTATAGAATTTATAATCAAACATACAGCTATTTCAGATTGATGTTTCTGCTGGTTATCATTTGGGACTCTTCACACATTTGTTTAAAAATTTTAATCACATACACAAAAACACTCTCTTATTAAAGGAAAAATTGTCTGTATAAAACCATTTATGTGTGTGTATTTTTTGTGCTTGTTTATTCAGTTAACAATTGCCACTCAATTGTGCTGAAGTGCTATTTGTAATTACAGATTTGCTGAGTGCCCTTCTCTTTTGTACCTGATAGAACAGTGTATTTGAGTGCTTCCTGTGCCACCATGCTGACCAGACCATCCAAAAGAGAGGTCATGGCTGAACCCAGATCTCTGAGGAAACGGGATTCCCACACCAGGCAGTACTGCTCCCCACAATCCCCCAGCCTGCACCACGGGGCCTGGAAAGAATCTGAAACACAATTCCCAATCTATGCAGCATATTTTTAATAAGGAAAATTAACAACATGCAGTACTTTGATGAGGAGATTGCATTGCCATTGTGTTTGAAGGGTTGCAACAGGAGCGGACGTAGTCATGGCAATACAAGAGCTTGGTCTGCATAATGTGAACAGCACACTCAGGTTATTTAGATGTGAAGTGCTCAATATAATCTTTATCTCCAGTCAAGTGGACAAATTCATATGACCCTTTGTGCTTTGTTGGCTTATATTAAGGTAGAGGCTAATGCATGATTTCTTAGATCACGCAAGAATGTATTGCAAACATACAGTAGCCCAAGGAAAGGGAAAATGGAACTCATGAATAGCATAAATAGCATAATTTTACATACCAATACCTAAAGATATGTCTAAATTGTTTAAAAGTAAAACAGAATCTAATAAGGAAAGTAAGTAATAGTGTTTGTTTAATGTTGTGTGTATGTTATGAGTCATCCAGTGTAAATATTATTATTGTTTTTGTTAATTTAATCTTAAATCGTTTAAGATAGTAGTTTTCAGTAGTTCACTTTACTTACTGTATTTCCCGCTGCAGAGCCACCCAGTGATAGCAATAGTGAGGTGCAGATGTTTTCCAGAATTCATTGGCCGGAATTCAAATTCCTCAATGGCTCCAACACATTTATTCATTTTATACCCTGAGGGAACATTAAAAAAAAAATTCTAATCACATCACAGATTTTCAATATGTCAAAACGTTGAGCATGAATTTGTAAAAATACTTACAACAGTGCATTCAATTTTGTATTTTGTAAAAAAAAAAAACTAAAAAAACATATTTTGTATTTTGTAAAAACACTTTTTACAAAAGTGAATTATTTATATGTACAGTTGTAGAAGGGCAGTGACATTAGAAGTCAGCAGTCTGACCTGTGAGTCCAGCTCCAGCTGCTCCAAACAGAGAGGCCATGATGGCGATGCCAGTGGCTGAGCCCAGGGCAGCGGCCCCACCGGCCCCCAGCACTGCCCCTGCTCCAGCAGCCACTAAAGGAGCCGCCAGTCCACCTGTCACACCTGCCAAATTTTATTCAAATTGAGTTTATATAACTGGTTTTAATTGCAAATATAAAAAAAGAAAAAGAAAACTGTACCAATCACAGTTCCTCCTCCGACTGTTGCCAGTCCAATTAGGAGGTAGCGCCGCAATTTACGACCTCTTTCTTTCCTTCTCCGCCGAGAAGACTCCTCCCTGAAGACATATTTATACATAAAACCAATTATTACAAATAATATAATATAAAACATAACATATGCAAGAAATTTGTCAAAGAAAAACTACAATCCCATATGGGGTTGAAACACTCACTCCGTCTCCTCCCCTGCCTCCCTCAGCCTCTCTCCCAGTGTTTCCTCAAACTCCTCGAGCTGCTGTGGCGACACTCGGAGCAGGCAGCTGACATGACGGATCAGAACTCGGGATCTGGCATCATACTGGCCTGGGGACAAACACTTACATGTAATAATCAAATATCAAAATCAGCGGCCAGAATCGAAAGGACACCCACCATCTTTCACAGAAAAAGACACTAGGTCCTGTAAAACAAAAGCACAATTTACTGGACATTTAAAAATATTTGACCTTCAATCAACTGATAAAAAATAATCTATTTGATCAATTATAGAAGTTACAGTAATAGACAAAAGACCTATTATTGTTGTTCTATAGTACTAAGTAGCAGAGCCATACCTGGATGATGGAGGTAGCCCCTGCAGCCAGCAGTGGCTCAGCCTGTAGGATGGAGAGGAAGGTGTCTGAACCCTCACAACCCAGCCCAGACAGGAAAGCCCTCATCACAGGCAAGACCGAGTCATCCAGGCCCAGCCACTGCACCAGTCCCTGCAGGTACTGGTCCCTGAAAGCACTGACACAACATACACACATACTATTACAGCACACAGCTATGATTGGATTCCTATATCCATGGATATGCTAAGCATAGCATATAATAATAATTATTAAAGTAGCTGAATCACCTTTAGAAACCTTAAACACAGCACTAGGGCCATAACTATAATGATAGCGCATTAAATTGTTTTATGGAAATAGAAGCACCAAGATGCACCATGTCAGTTTTGGGAGATATTAGATCAGTACAATTAAATAAAATAACTTACATGAAAAAGTGTACTTAATAGTAGTTAATACTACTTGCTTATTATTCAAATTGATATTAACTTTGAAACTAAATAATTTCCATTAACCCTGTGCTCCACATTAAACACAACAAATTAAATAACTGTATTTGTAATTTTTATGTCTTATGAAATGGACCAACAGGTGCTGATGCAGCACAGATTTCCTTGTCATTAAAATTAGAATAGCACATTGTTTTTATCCTTGCTCTGTGTCCGATGTAAAAGGTTGGCATGACAACCTTGAGTGTCTAAGAAGGCTGTTTTTCTGATACCAGCAATGTTTGTCCAGCACTTGAGGCCCGTGGCTGTGTTACCTGTGGTCTGGCTCTCCAAACAGCTGACCCAGGGATACAGCACATAGGGCAGCATAAGCAAAACGCCCAGGTTCTGAGAGCTGCCTGCTGACCATTTCTGCCACAGGGGGGTCCTCCTGTGTGCCTTCCGTTCCCCCTGGGTCTGAAAGAGGAAAGTTTAGAATGACACAAAATTAATATTAATAAACGTGTGTGAGTAATCATTTACAAATATCTTGTTCCTGTTTCTGATTTTAAAAAGTACATTTTTGTTTTATGTGCTTCCTGATGGATATAGTGTTGCTTTTTTGTGATTGTTTTCTGTTTTGTTTTTGTCTTAATTTCTGTAGGTGCTATTTTTCTATTATTGTGTTGTCGACCCCCTCACAAACGAGATGTTGTATCTCAAGGGGCTTCCCTTCTTAACAAATAAATAATCTGATTACTTTCTGATTGTTCACAAAAAGGCAGACATACAAAACACAAAAATGAAAGAGAAAATTATAAAGATTGAAGATTGGGGTTATGTTTATATTTGTCTTCTCTAAAAATCCTTTGGTTAACTGATGTTTTCATGATATGATTTATTTTGTATGTAAAGATAAACACAAAAATCTGATCTAATTACTGGATTATCTGATCATTTTAGTTCTAGCACCATTTAAAAAAAAAGCTACTATAACAGTCCATGAGCAAACTTTTTTTTAATTTTTTATTTAACCAAGGATTCTTGTGGGTGTTAGAGCTATGGCATATTTGTACACATTAATAGCTTAAAGATAGGTTTAAACTTCTCATTAACTCAGCGTTAATGAAGCAGCCTAAATTAAACGAACAGAAAAAGATGTGTCCTACATACCGATAACTATTTTAAGCCTAGTAATTGAGGTGTAATAACTTGGAAAACACTCACTACCAAGCAGCTAGCGTGTAAACAAGCTGCTATTTATCACAGCTGGTTAGTGCTAGTCAGTCGTTAGCAATCTTGTGACTCTTCCTGAATAACCATATTTTAACTATTCAGTCGGTTCAGATCACAATGCAAGATAATCGCTATTTACTGACATTTAATCTCTTATCTTTTTAAAAACGTGTAATACCTTCAGTAAAAGCGCTGTCCCCACGTTTGTTCTCCATGATAGTACTGAGGTTTGAAGTCTGCCTTGTACTAAACTTTTGCTGTGTTCATGTGCCCTGCGAACACTACCACGCTTGACGTACAAAATCACGTATAACAAATTCAAAGCCTGACATATAACGTACCAGAAGAGCAAATCGAAAATAAAAGCTAGTATAGTAAAAATACTCTTAAATGTGTTGAGGAAAAAGGCGTGTAAGTATTTCAAATGAACGATATATACAATAATAACAACTGTTCGTGAAGTGGTCCGGTCAAACTTTGCATTGTTGACGTAACCTCCACGTACTCTGCGTTCTCCTGGATGCTCATGTTTTTTTTTTTCCTTTTTTTTTTTCTTAAACTGTAACAAGACGATATATAGCTCAGAATAGCTCAGAATAGCTCAGAATACGATGGGTAGACTTACTTTTGCATTGGTGAGTAAAACTCGTAAGTGGGTTTTCATTCATCGTTCATCAATTCATTAAAAAAAAAAAAAAAAAAGCAGCGACAACTCGTTCAGAACTATGAGTTATTCTGATCAACGAATTATCTTATGGTGTGCATCAGTTTTTAAAATGCAACCACTAGGTAATCCTTTTCTGCATTTCAAATAGGCAGATTGTTTGTAAGAGAAATGGGCAGCTTGATAGGTCCACCGAGAAAAGTTAGATTACAATCATATAATAAAGTCTAAATGAAATTCTGCTGCAAATTTATCACAATGTAGGCCTACCATTAATTAAAACAACTTCTACACTATATAATCCAGACCTGTAAATTAGTGTTTGTAGTGTAATTCGACTTTAAATCCAGCAGGGGTAAGTGTAACTCTATTTTCGACGTAGTCTACAACTACAACCAGCATGTTATGTTGTATCATTTCACACCAGAACATAAGGTAAACGTGTCCTGTTTTGTTTGATTATAATTTATTATAATTTCTATGAATACACTCACCTCACCTGCCTTTTAGGTCCAATATTATGCGAAACTGACTCTATAGTGAGCTTTAAGGCATGTTATAAGGGCAATGTTGTTATCTCCTCAGAAACATACCTGGAGTTGTGTTTCATTCACACATGTTTGAGTAACCCTGCGTAATTGGACAGTCTATATCTTCCACCTTGTGATGTCATGAAGATGTAGTTTTCAAGTAAATAGCTATCTTAGAGATTGGCAATTCCAGGGCTTAAATTATCCAAACGATTCTAGGGGAATGTGTATGGAGTTTAGGAGCAGGGTCTGTGTCTTAAATATGTGTGAATGAAAGAAAACAAAACTCCTGGTATGTTTTTGATAAGAAAAACATAGATCATAAAATAGCATAATATGGGCCCTTTAACACTTGATTGAAAATGTTGTTGTTTTTTCTCCTGGGACACAGCATCACACAAATTATCTTCTAATGTAATGTTTATCAGAAGATTACTCTTATTATAAAATCTATTTCCATCAAAAGTAAATAAGGCCCAGTCTCATATTAAATATATTATACTTTTCTGATTTCACATAGGGTGCTACCCTACTTTGAACCCCAGCCCTATGATTGAGATCCACTGATTTAATGCACCATGTACTTGAAAAAATGATTACACAATTCAAAAGGCAAAAGAAAATTCTGAATGAAATACTATAATGTGAAAAAATATCACTGTTTCCTGCCTGGCAGTTAGAGAAGTTAGGACATCTGATTTAAAACCTATGGCACAGCTGTCGTGACAGTGGAGTACTGGTCGTTGCATGTATGAACTCAAATGTTTCTTGTCAGAAGCGTTTGAAGATGCATAGTGCACTCATACTATGAAATTTAATTATTCCATTTTGAATGCATATTTTACAATGTATTAGTGATGCCTAATCAAAAACATGCTCTTATTCTTTTCTTGCCAAAACATCTGCTGACTTCTCCTGAAGTATTTTGTTTTCATTCCCACTTTTTCCACATCATCAGCACCACTTCAGTCATCTGGCACTGGTTGTGGACCTTTCTCACGATTCGAATCTGCACTGACACGAGGGCTGGAGACTTATACCGGAAGTATGTAGTGCCGGACAGGATTATGGTTTCTGTGGGGCTCTGTCAGAAGAATAACCGGGTCCTGTCACAGTGGAATCTCCAGGTCTGTGCTGCTGGATTTGTCTGAGTGAGGCTTCCTGTTTATGCAGCACAGTGGACAGATTCAAGTGCATCATAAACAAGTGACTATTTACAGCAGTGCTACAGGGTAATTACTGATGACAAACTAAGGAGCCCTTAAAGACTTTATCCAGGAATCTGCATTGGAATTTCTTAGAATAGAAGTCTAGAATAGCTGGGCCTGTCACGATAATTACTATATCGACTTCATTTGAAATGTTCAGTATGAAAACTGGAAATATGTTTTTTGGTGCCAGTATTTATCTTGCGTAAATAAATAGCTTATTATTTCTTTGGATTGTCTAATATCCATTTATGATATAAATTGATATAATCATTTATGATTTATGAATACTATCTGTAAAATTAAATCAATATGCATTAAGTATGATGAAATGATGAGTCTTCCTTCAACAGAATAAGCAAAAAGGAATACACAAATGCTAAACTGATAATATCTAATGCCATAAACTCACCAGCTATTGGTTGCTGTTGTTTTTTTTAGGTTTTTTTTTTAGGTTTCTTTGAACATACTGTGGAGCTCTTTGGTCTACTACTTTCTACTGCTGTCAGTTTTAGTAAGTACCCTACATACAAGGGCTGGGAATCACATGATACATGGCTCACAATACAATATTATTTTGACATGCTATAAATCAATACATTGCACATGATAGTCCAAATACACTTTACCAACAATATTTCTTTGTTAAACCAGGACTTGTGCAAAGTTAATATAAAATCAGTTTTAATCATCAAAACAGTGAATATGTCAAGTGTATTGTATAAACAAGTTTTCTTCTACCAAAATAACAGAATTGTAGTGTGGACACAAGAAAATACTCTTAGCGATATATTGATACAGCAGCCCACAATAAAGATACTGAATATCTAAATACATAAAAATCACAATATATCCATATTTTGACATTTTTACACATGTATACATACTGTACAGAAAAAAAAAAACACATTCAAATTCAAGACAGTGCTGTTAATATGTAGCAGTATATGTTTTGTAACTGTGTTTTATTTTGCTTTTTGTACATTATCAAAACATAATCACATATATGCCAGAATTGTGTACATGAAACAAAACAAAACCAACATGGACAAATCAACCTCACAGAGTTAGGATTTTACAAAATTAAGTTATAGCCATCCATACCTACATTTTGCTATTAAAACGTTTACACCAAATATACAGTATATATATGTTCTTGTCACTATATTAACAGGAATAGCAAGAAGGTGGTGTCGTGCCCTTTATGACCAGTGAGAACTTACACCTTTGTTTATTTATAGACATATTGTATAGCTACCACAGACTTCCGAAGTTGGAAACAAGATGGCCCCCCAGGGACAAATTAATCTATGGCAATCAGAGCAGTACACGTGCACAAACAGCATGCTCCGTAGCATAGTACTGCATATGACCTCATATTCACTTACAGAGAGACCATTGTACTTTATAGTACTTAAAGATTTTGTGGAAATATTAAGTTTGCGAAGTAAATCCTGACTTAATTTTACCCCCAGGAAGGTTGAGGTAATGGCCTGGACCTGTGGTAGGGATCAAACCGGCTACATCAAACTCACCTGGAAAATATATTAAAACATGCGTTATTATAAATTACATAAATATTCAGAGAGCTGTACCATGCTGATGATGATCTAAAACAGCTTCTACACTGGCTAGACATTGTAGAAGAAATATATTCAATGGAACGTTTGCCTTTTTTTCTATAACTCAAAAGACATTTCTTCATTAAATACTATACAAAATTGTAAATATAAACTAAAACAATCCAATCATAATCCACCCTTTCACATCTTTATTGCAATTGAACAGTGCTCTAAGCTTTTTATTAGTTTTTACTTCATAAAACTTGAAAACCTGAATAAATAAAAAGTTAAGTGCCACCTCAGGAACAAAGTCTCTCCAGTGTGCCATGTTTCTAATGCTGTGAAATATGACTGCTTATATGAGAACTATTACGTTACAACAATTACATTTTTCATACTGTCATGGCAATCAGGTAACCGAATCAAAAAGCCCAGTTGATGTTGATTTGTGGAGGGATGTTCAAAGATGAAATGATGCCGTCTATAATGTCAAGCACCCATGAGGTAACTGCTTGAGAATTCAGAAACATATATTGCAAAACTGTCAGGCTTGAACTTTGCGTCTTCAGGACAAAGAAAAAAAAAAAAACTATGTTATCGGAGTAAATCTAAAACATAACATTATTAGACTCTATCTATCATAAATACCTAATCACCATTTAAATCATGTTATAATGTTGTTATCTCATCAAAAATATATGCAAAGTTGTGTTTTATTTCATTCAGTAATCCTGTATTATTAGTCTCGCTACATCTCCCAGGCTCAAAATGCTCCGTTCCACATCATCATCTTCCACAACATTTTACCTTCTGTTTCTGTAGAGATTAGCAATTGCTGGTCTAAAATTATCCAAATGATTCTAGTGACAGTGTAAAGAGTTTAAAAACACAGTGGAGCTCCCTTTGACTTCCTATATATGTACTTAGGCCAGGAGATTCCAAATGTCACTACTGTAGCGGACAAATACCTAAGGATAGAGAAGGATTATTAAAGAAATTTTTGATCTGTGAAAGGAGCAGGGTTTATGCAGCAAAGACAAGGCAAATAATCGTAGAAATATGTATTTATGTTAATATTCAGATTTTTTGTTGTTGTTGTTCTCTTTATGTTGATGCCAACAAAAACAATAGCATGAGCAATAAATAAATAAGCAATAAATAAATAAATACATAAAGGATTATTTTATTATCAGCAAAGAAAACATTGACAAGAAAATGGCTTCAAACTGATGAACCAGTAATAGAAGAGTTGTACAATACTGTTTATCAAATATTTTTGATGGAAAGACTTACAATGTCATTGAGACTTCAGAAGGAAAAATTTTATGTGTTTTGGCAGAAGTGGATCCAATACATACCTGTTTTGAGACCTGACCTTGTGTGAATCATTTGTCTAACAGAAAGGAAGTAAAGAGAGGAGACAAGGTTTTAAAAATTTCTTTCCACTTGCCCTTTTGTTTTTGTTCTTTTGTGTATTTGTTGACTCTAGTATTGCTATATATATAT